CTTGAAAAACCAAACCAAACCAAACCAAACCAAAAAAAAAAAAAAAAGAAGCAATCGGGTTACCACTACATATAACCTCAATCCTAGGCCAAACTGACCCTATTTCCCAAGATTCAATTTGGAAGAGTCCCTCCTAACATCTGCAGGAGCCAACCTTTAGAACCGGTGGGAAGAGGGATCCCCATCATATGCTCAACTTAAAGCCATGTGGAAATCACAGTGCAAGATACACTGGGCACCCTTGAGACAGACACCATCTGGACGGAAGCTAAGTGCTCTGTGATGTTTTCAATTCCTTTACTAATTCAAAACCATACAAGCCTAAAGCCTGGAGTGATAGCTCAAAGGTTAAGCACTTACTGCTCTTCTAAGGGGTTCCCAGCACCCACATTAGGTGACTCAAAAAACATCTGAAACTCCAGCTCCTGCACATTGCATGGTGAATATAAACTCATGCAGCCTCACATACACAAATACAATTTTTTTAAATACACGAATGTGCAAAGTCATCAAAACAGTATTTTTAAAAGTAGTCCAACTCTTTAAACTTTTTTATGACAGGTGTTTCTTTGCCAAAACACGTGATGGATATGAGTGGGAAGCATTTTATCTTGGTAATGCCTTCACCAATTTCTATTTCAATCCTTTTCCTGGACTTAACTGAATGCAAAACTCAGATTTGTCTACATGCAATCATATCTGACTAAGCCTCCAGGCAAGATCCAGGAAACAAAACAGCTTCACAACCACAGAGAAACACCTTATGTCTTGTCTTTATTGCTTCTGGTCAAACATAATCTTAGATGTTAAGATACAACCTGAAAGACCAAACCTGCCAGGTGGGCGTGGTGAAGCTCGCCTGTTATCGCACCAATACTAGGCCAGAGGCAAGGACCATGAATTGGGAGGTCAGCCCTTAGCAAGAGCGAATGCTGATAAAAAGAAAAATTGGATTCGACCTCAGCTTTCAATGTACCCTATCTTTCCTTCTGTGACACTGCCACCTAAACCTAGGGCAGACACCTCTGTCACCCGCAAGAAACAAACAGCTTGATCCCTTAAAAAGTCTCTTGTGGACTTTCCACGTGGCGACCCTTGGGAAGCCTTGTGCACCTAGAATCTGACCCTCGGCACACCTCAGACGGTGTTTGGGGACCCAGCAGCTCCCGGGTTTCGCCGAGGTGTTGTGTGGACAGGAAGGTGGCTGTGAGGACAGACCAGGCACCCGACGCTCCTCGACCACGCAGCCTGCTCAGCTCCGGAGGCCTCCGCCTCCCTAGAGTCGCTAGTCCTAGTCCTCTACCCAATTCCGGGGAGTGACCGTCCCCCAGGGCCCACCCGAGAAGGTCTGCTCTCGGGAAAAGCAACCGAGCCGCAGCTCCCCATCCGCCCACTCGGGAAAAATCCCTTGGCCGCCGCCATGTTCCCCGCGCCGAAGCCCGCACCTGACACCGCGGGCCGCGCACCTGGGATACGCCGGGAAAAACGCGCGTTGTCGCGGGGACACTGGGACTAGACTGCGACTCCACGGGGGTCACAACCTGCGAGAAGAACCCGCCGCTAATTCATCCCGAAGCGGGGAGGCGTCGAGCCCGTCGCCTTAGTAATGCGTCCCTCCAGGCTCCACCCTGATTGGCTACCGGCGCTGTGACGCAAGGCGTCTCCGGCTGCGTGGGAAGCCCTTGAGCCGGGCGCTCCGCCCCTGCTCTGCAGCCCGGAGAGACCCCGAGCTTCAACTAGGCTCCTTTAAAGGAGCCGCGCTCCATATCAGTCTGTCCAGCTGCAGAGATGCCTGCCAAAGCTTGTAGCAAGAAACCAAACATTAGAACTCAGAGATGGTCTCCGGGGAACCTAACAGCTACGACGGGATGACAAATCTAGAACACTCATTTGCAAGCCTAACGTTTACTCCTGGAATCAAAGAGCAAATTGGCATCCAGCCAATTCTAGAACCTGACTTTCTGCTGTTTCAAAATTCAAGGCATTTTCAACACCTGAGGTTGCCTCATGGAAGACAAATTGGAGGGAATCATTTGCAACTCTTACTTTCTTGCCCCAAGTAAAGAGCAAATGATCACGCAGCCAGTTCGAGAACCCGGGTCCTGATGGTGTAAGCTCCTTCCTTCATGCAACCCCTGAGGTTGCATGATGGAAAACATATCAGAGACACTAATTTACAAGCCTTATTTTCTTGCCCCAAGTCAAAAAGCAACTCCACATTCTGTGGTGCACAACTGTTGCTAATTCAACAGTGTTTACTCAACTCTCAACTTTTCTTCCTCCTCTGGATGGCCCAATCGGTTTTTGTAGTTGTTGCTGCTGTTGTTTTTGTTTTTTGTAGGATACTCTTCTTGAAAGGCCTTTGTGTCTTTCTACAGTGTTGGATCTGACTCCAAACCTACAAGACTAAGCATCTGGATGCTAGAGGCTGGTTAATTTAACCTCTTTGCATTTCCCCTGCACAATACCTTCTTGCTGACTTTTAACAAATAATAGAAGTCTTTAAAACTAATAAGCGTCCACACATAGCCCACAGAGCCTTTCAACAGCTTGTCATGTATGTTTATACATTTAATCTGCTTATTTAACATGAGACTGAGAGAAATGCGTTAAGTTCAGGGTAGGCTTGCGTGGTAGTGCATGCCTGTAACCCCAGCAGTCCCCATAGCAATGCCAAGAGACTGCCTTAGTAAGACTTTGTTGTTGTTGTTGTTGTTGTTTTGGTTTGGTTTGTTTTTGGTTTTTCGAGTCAGGGTTTCTCTGTGTAGCCCTGGCTGTCCTGGAACTCACTCTATAGACCAGGCTAGCCTCAAACTCTCAAACTCAGAAATCCAATTCGCCTCCCTCTGCCTCCCAAGTGCTGGGATTAAAGGCGTGTGACACCACCGCCCAGCCTTCTCAGCAAGACTCTTAAATTTTTAAAAAGAAATGCAAGGTACGTTCCCGAAGAGAATCAGCATTGCATATCTTGACTTTTATTCAATATTTAAGTATTTGAGATGTGCCACAATCGTATTAGAAAATGAAAACTACAACAAAGGAAAAACACCAGTACAAAAATTCAGTTATCCCTATGAGGTTGAATGGACCTCATTTTTGTCTCTAAACTCAAGAGTTCTGGAAAATCTTAGGTTTTTTTTAAGGTTTGTCATTGTTTTGAACTGAACATGGTGATCCCCCAGAACCTCTCAAGAGTGCATGGCCGTGAGTTCTCTGAGGACTTGAAGCATCTATGCATAGCCTTTCCTCTACTGGAGACTCTTCTTTTGTTCTAATGAATTAAAGGAGAATGGGTTCTTGGGACTCCAAGAGAGCGCCATCAATTTAGATCCTTTAACCAACATGTCTCAAAAAAGAAAAAGAAAAATAGCAGAGTACTTTTCTTTCCCCGGTGTGTGGTTATTTAAGACCAAAAAGAAAAACAAAACAAAACAAACAAACAAACAAACAAAGCTGAACAGTGGTGGCTCACAACTTTAATCCCAGCACTGGAGAAGCAGAAGTAGTCAGAGCTCTGTGAGTTCAAAGCCAGCCTGATCTATAGAGAAAATTCCAGGACAGCCAGAATTACATGAAGAAACTCCATTTTGGGAAAAAAAAATGTATGTGTGTGTGTGTGTGTGTGTGTGTGTCCGAGTGCACACATATACAATTGTAAGACACGTAGGGAAAGGACTGAAGAAGAAACGTGGATGCTTACATACAGCAATCTCTCCTTCAGTCCTTGCAGCCTAAGAATCAGCTCAGATCTTGAAATTGGGCAGCAGATTAGAATTTTCCATTGCGGTAACGTCTGATTCCACTCTTTTACTTACCGCTCATCTGCTGAAACTACATATTATACAGCACCCTCATTGTCTGCCCACATACCTCATGTCTAAAGAAAAAAAAAAATGCTACGTTCCATCAGCCATCTTCATAAGGTCAGGTCAAGATCCCTGGCTGCCACTTCAACCTTGTGATCCATTATGGTAATGAGATGGTCACTGCGTCTCAGAACTGTCTCAGCTCTTCTGGCATCTTTCACTCCCCAGTGCTACTATTATAACAACAGTCCCCGCTAGACATGTCCTGCTTTGAGAAGACAAACACCTCTGAGCTTCTCAATGATGCTGTTACTCTCTGGCAGAGCCTTGAGCCTTGGGGTGATAAACAATGTCACCCAGGCCCTTGCTGAGAGACAGAGGAAGCCAGAAAAGTTTCTAGTCAGTTGACCAATCCATTTGAAGATTCTCTAATTTTTTTTTTTCCATTCCTACATCCTCGTTGTACCATGAGAGCTCTGGGATCTCTCTTTCAACATGGTCATTTGCTTTCCCTGGATTTTAAGAATCATCCCAGCAGTATATTAGAATTGGCTCCCAGAACTCGAACCATGGGAGGTGGGGCACTAATTTCCCTCCTCGATTGTCAAGATGAGATTTGCCACACAAACCCAAGTAAGTAAACCCTGTATCTTCCAACAAAGTGAAAGAGGCCTGCTTGAATCTGAGGGTTCAAAGTTCTCAAGAAAGCCTCACTCCTGCCGGGCAGTGGTGGCGCACATCTTTAATCCCAGCACTTGGGAGACAGAGGCAGGCGGATTTCTGAGTTCGAGGACAGCCTGGTCTACAGAGTGAGTTCCAGAACAGCCAGGGCTATACAGAAAAACCCTGTCTCAAAAAAACAACAACAAAAACAAACAAACAAAGCCTCACTCCAAGGCCCAAGGTTCTACTGTTTCTGTGTCAGTACTCCAACTTTGGCATTGGAAATATGTCCAAGATGACAATCTAGCTCTTTGGGGCTACACCTAGTCTTCAATTAGGATGCAAGTGTCAAGAGTCTTTTTAAAATCTGCTGAACATGTCTTCCAATATCAACATGTTGCTTGCTTAAAAATAGCCACCCATTTCCAATTCCTCACAGTAAGTATTTTCTTCAAACCTGTCAGTCACCAACGACTGTGCAGCTAACACACTTCTTCTCCTGCACCCTTCCCTTATTCAGAAAAGTCATCTGCCACGATAGCCCAGGTACTGCTCCAGTAAGTAGCCATGGGATCAGTTGCCGTTGCCTAGCAATGGGATTTGTCCTCGTTTCCATCCTGTCCTTTTGAGAAGCCCATCTTTAGGTGCTTTCCTAGAACCACCTCCTACGGGTGGCTTCCTGGAAAAGGAGGCTGAAGCAGAGAGGTGTGGCCTGGATTAAAGGTGTGTACCACCAAGCCTGGATCTGGGACTTGCTTTTTCCCAGATGACCTTGAACTCAAAGATCTTCTTGCCTTGATCTCCTGAGATTCATAACCACTATGCCTTGAGATCTCCATGCCAAGATCCAGGTCAGAAACTTGAATCTCCCAGACTCAAGATCAGGATCACAGGTAAGCTTTCCAATTCTGGATTGTAGTTCATTCCAGATATAGTCAAGTTATAGCCAGGAATAGCCACTACAGTGTATGTCTTGCCTTTTTAACTTTGAGGTAGGAAATAAAAATGTACCCCTAAGTTTATAGGATGGTACTAATCTACTCTGCTACCCAAAAGGGTAATTTCTCTGCAGTTTCTAAACCTTTCTTGATTTCCTACAATATATTATACAGCTGATAAATAGCTCAACCTCATGAGTCTTTGATTTAATTGGCACATTTAATAGGACACTCTACAGTGGTCAGGAAAACAGGATTACAAATAGTAAACCCCACATTCTAGTTGTTTTGTTACTATTAAATACCTATATGGCCACATAATTGCTGTTTCTTCTTCTTTTTCTTCTTCTTCTTCTTCTTCTTCTTCTTCTTCTTCTTCTTCTTCTTCTTCTTCTT